GGAAGACTTATCTGAGCTCTTACACTGTGTCTATTCAGGGTTGGAGCATGTGACCAAAGAGACAATGTCAAAACTCATGGTTTTAGACCATGGTCTTGTAGTGAATGGAGGTAAGTCTCCAAGGCATGGGGGGCAGGAGCTTTAGCAGAGATAGACTGTTGACTGCATTAGCGGCCTGAACTCTCCAGGGGTCTTTAAAGGTGGTCGACTCCAAGTTTATTTCTGACCTATCAGTGTGGCTGTCTGAATCAGAGCTCTGTGTTCAGATCCCCTACACCCTTTTAAACACGAGCTGGACATGGCAGCCTGTACTTTCAGTGCTGGGAAGGTGAAGACGGGAGTGCCTGGAGCAAGCTGGCCAGTTGGCTAGCCAGAAGAGCAAACTGGGTTTGAGAGACCCTGCCTCAAAAATAAGGTGAACAGCAACCAAGGAAGATGTCTGATGTCAGCCATGGACCTCCACTTGCACATGTACACATGTGTAGGGTCACTACACACAAGCACACAGGAAACTAAGAACTGGAAATGTCTTGGGAAAGGATGTGTTAGTATTTTCTTTTATGCGCTGGCCATGTCTGCACTTGATGACAGCTCACTGTGATACATACAGTTCAGGTGTTGTAACGATAAGTCTTTCCACCTGCCGCCTGCTTCCGCCGCAACGTTAGGACTCCCAAAATAACACATGGAGACTTATATTAGGTACAGTGCTGCTGGCCGATGACTAGGATTTCTTATCTGCTAGCTCAGTCTTAATTATCAACCAAAATCATTACTCTATATATTCATAAAGACTTACCTGATGGAGGATGCTGGCAGCATTCGTCCTTTCTTGTCGGGCTCACATGGCGGCTCCAGAGAAGAGAGGGGGAGGGAGACAGTGATTCCTGCTTGTCCCTGAGTATATTCTGAGTCTGCCTGTTATGTCACTTCCTGCCTGGATCACAAGACTTCTCCTTACTACATTTCCCAGAATCCTCCTCGACTCCTAGTCCCACCTAACTTGCTTCTCTGTTGGCCAGTAGTACTTTATTTACCAACCAATAAGACAAACATATACACAGAAGACCTTCCCCTATCAAGGTGTGGAAGGGGAAAGGGCATCTTTAGTGAGAGGCTTGGGGCCTGGTGGGGGTGGGGGCAGGTGAACACCTTTGTCTCCCTCAGGTGTCTTCTCAGTTAAATACAGCTCGGAAAGAACCAAGAAAATGTCAAAGGCAGTGGAAGCGTTTCTTTTAAGGCCACCCATGAGGCTGGCATGATGCATACCTGTAATCTCAGTTCTTAGGAGATAGAGGCAAGAGGACCAGGAGTTCAAAGTTGGCCTGGGTTACAAGAAACCCTAGTTCGAAAATACAAAGTAAAAATTAAAAATAAAAATTTGCTGCGGTTACCCTCTTATACACACTTTCCACTGTGAAGACAGCTTACCCTAGAGCAAAGCTCACAGCCAGAGTACAGGCTGTCTTAGACTCATAGCAATACAGGCAGGGTCAGTGTCCTAAAGGGCTCTGGTGGCTAGGTGGATAGAGGAAGATCTCTGGGCTTCCTGACAAGCTGTCACCTCAGGTACAATGACCTTATTTCTGTCCTCTTCAGATGGGCGCAGGAAAATCAATGCTCATAACACCTGGGGGTGGGGGCGTAAGGCCGAGTCGAGCCTGCATTAGAGAGAATGGGGCTCTGGGATCTTTCTGCACAGAGCAGCCAAGCCAGGACATGCCTCCTGGGAGAGGTTTGATTCTGGTAAACAGCAGAACTCATTTTCCAGCAAATAGATTTTCATTTTGCTTTATTCCTAGCGATGCACTTCTGAATTATCACTGGAATGAGGTCTGATATGGCCACCCAGACTGAGCCTTTCTCTTGCCTTTCAGAGATCCATCCCCTGAGCCCTGCTGACTCAACTCTGCCAAGTCCCTCTTTGCCTCTGCTCCAGTGTGCAGTGCACACTACCCATTCGCCCCGTTCCAGTTATTTATTTCTACGTGTGTGTGTGTGTGTGTGTTTGTGTGTATGTGTGTATGTGTGTGTGTGTGTGTGTCCACATGTGAAAGCCAGAGACTGGTCAGCTGTCTTCTTCTATCAGACTCTCCCCCTTATTTTTGGGGACAGGGTCTCTTATTGAACTAACTTATTTGGCTCAGCTGTCTGGCAAGTGAGTCCCTGGGACCTACATGTTAACCCCATCTTTAAATCATTAACATGTAAAAATAAGAGAAATAGCTTACAGGCTCAATCTACAATTCAATTAACTTTATAGGTGTGTTCTATAGAGCACTGTTCTATAACCATAAACATACAAATCCGAAAATCTCACTAAGAAACACTCCCCTACACACACACACACACACAGAGGCAGTGGCCTTGTGTAGCTCAGGCTGGCCTTGAACTCAGTAGCTAGGGATGAACTTAAACTCCTGATCCTTCTATCTCCACTTCCAGAGTGGTAGGATTGCAGGTCCACCATGCCCAGCTTTAAATTTACAAAGCAATTCCAAGTGATTTGTAACCCCATTTCTATTGAAGACACAAAACAACATGTTGATTCATTTTCCAAGTGACTGCAGAATATGGAAAATTGGTTTGCTAATGTGTATGTAAATCCTGTGGTTTAACCATGCCCTATGACCTGGGCTATGCATAACTTCATGAAAGGGACTCTGTTCACCCGATGGTTCTGCTGAGTACATACTACGGGGGTCACTAGGTGTACACCTCACCTATAGAACAATTATATCCTTCTCAGGCTGAGCTCCCCAGGCCTGTTTCTCTTATAGTGAACTTAATGCCTTTCCTGCTTTTAGATGTGTGATTGATTATATGAGTTATTCATGACTATATGCTAATTACCCCAAACTTAGGGTCTTAAAACAACATAGATGGCTGGAGACATGGATCAACAATTAAGAGCAAGTACTACTTTGGTAGAGAACTTGAGTTCAATTGTCAGCACCCACAGTTGGCAGTTCATGACTACCTGTAACTGCAACTCTAGGGGACCTGATGACCTCTGGCCTTCAAGGTACTTGCACTCATGTGCACACAATCCCCCACATAAACATAAATGTAGATATGAATAAGTCTTAAAAGTTGCATACACGCCACTAGGTTTCTGGGGTTCTGAAAGCTGTGTTGGATTAACTGGGCTCTCTAGTTCAAGGACTGCTAGTTCAAGGCTAGTGGAAAGCCAGGCTTGTATCACCTCACCTCAGTCTTCACCCTGGGTATGAGTCACTTCCAAGCTCACCCACATGGCTACTGGCAAATACAGTCCTTTGAAAGCTGTTAGCTGGAGGCCATTGTTGGCTCTATGATACTTAGACCTCTATATGAGCAACTTACCCATGGCAGCTGACTTCATCTTCCTGAGCAAAGAGAGGGAGGGAGGGAAGGGAGGGAAGGGAGGGAGGAAGGCTGAGAGAAAGAGAACACGAGGGATGGGTATTGAAGCTCTCTTTTTTCCGACCTCATCTTAGAATCCCTTATTCTCTGCCATATTGTATAGAAATAAGTTACAAGGGCCTGGGAAGACAGCTCCTTCAGTGAAGTGCTTGCCTTACAAGCATGAGGGTCTGATATTGATCCCTAGATCCCATACTTAAGAAGCCAGGCATGGTGGTATGCGCTAGTAACCCCTGCATGGGAGGGTAGAAACTCCAGGTGGATCACGGTCGGCTCACCTAGTCTGTTTCACATGTTCCAGGCCAGCAAGAGACCCTGTCTCAAAAGAGCAAGGCAGATAATGCTTGAAGGATACCCAGGATTGACCTCTGGACTCCTATGTTTGCACACCACCACCCCCCACACACATACACATACTCAAAGGCACATTCTCTCACCCTCTCGAACACACACTCACGTGTATACATACTCACGCACATCCACTTGCTAGTTCCTGACTTTGAGAAGAGGTTGATTAACAAAAGGCATGAATACCAGAAGGTTTTGTCACCCCATGTGATTAGCAGTAATTCAGAGGCTTGTGTGAGTGAGCTGGTAGACAAAAACCTCAGGAAGATGGTCTTCATAAAGACACATGGCTTAAACTGAACACAGTTGCTCCACATGGGAAGGGCTAAATTATAGTTTTTCTACCTTTTAATTTCTTGGGTCTTTTAACTTTAAAAATTGTTCTAAACTTTAGTATAAAAAGTTGTGCATTAGCCAGGTGGTGGTGGTGCATGCCTTTAATCCCAGCACTCAGGAGGCAGAGGCAGGCGGATCTCTGTGAGTTCGAGAGCAGCCTGGTCTACAAGAGCTAGTTCTAGGACAGCCTCCAAAGCCATAGAGAAACCCTGTCCCAAAAAATCCAAAAAAAAGTTGTGCATTCATGCACAGACATACACCAAATGTAACCAGACCCAAAGACTACACATATAGTAACTCATTTGCAAATTTCAAAGGTAAAGATATAAACAGTGAAATGTCACATATCCTTGCCCCAATAGGTGTGTTGTTGGCCAATTGATACCGATCTATCTATCTATCTATCTATCTATCTATCTATCCATCTTGCCTTTTTCTTTCTTTTTCATTTTATTACATTTACTTGTGTGTTTTCCAGTGCACTGTCCCATGGCACACATGTGGGGGAGGGTCAGAGGACAACTTGAGGGAGTCCATCCATCCATTCTATCTTTCCACAATGTGAATTCCTGGGGTAGAATTCATGTCTTCAGGTTTGGAGTTGTAAATCTGTATTCACTGAGCCATCTTGCCATCCTCTTTTATCTGTTTGAGATAGTTTTCCTCTAGCATCGAATTCCCAGCAATTCTCCGGTCTCGGTCTTTCAAATGCTGGGATACTTTATAGGCACAAGCCACCATACCTGGGCTTAATAATGTTTGGAAACATTATGAAATTTGTTCCCGGGAAGGTTGGTACTGGCTGCCGTCCAAGTGCCATCATTCTTGGGGAGAGCATGGGCCTCCATCCCTGACCCTGCATGGAGACATGGTGCCTGTCCAATGTGGTCTCCTTCTTCCTCTCTCTACAGAAAACCCTGAGAGAGCTGCTCTGTACTTCGTCTCTGGTGTGTGCATCGGACTGTTCCTGACCTTGGCCGCCTTAGTAATGAGGATCTCCTGCCACACTGACTGCAGGAGGGGTCCCCGGAGGAGGTGCTTGCAGGACCACGAGAGCAGCAGCGACAGTAGTGACAGTGAAGATGGCAGCGAGGACACAGCCTCGGACCTGTCCGTGCGCAGACACCGCCGCTTCGAGAGGACTTTGAACAAGAATGTGTTCACCTCTGCAGAGGAGCTGGAGCGCGCACAGAGGTTGGAGGAGCGCGAGCGCATCATCAGGGAAATCTGGATGAACGGGCAGCCTGAGGTGCCCGGCACCCGGAGCCTAAACCGCTACTACTAAGGCACAGTTTGGACCCCAGAACTTCTGCAGGCCTCCAGGAATAGAGAGTGGGTTCTGTAGGCAGGGACGGTGTGCACAACGGAAGCCCCTATGCTAATGTGTCCGGAGAGAAAGAAGCACAGGGCCAGCCTGCTTTCCCAATGGCAGGACGGTTTGCTTTAGACTCTTACCTCTGGAGAAATAGACAACCCGAGCAGCGGCATCAGCCTTTCCAGGTCTTGACACCCACGTGGGCACACTGGCCCAACCTTTCCAGGTCTTAGAATGGTGCTGAGATTTCCTCTCCAGCCATGTGACAGTGATGTGACAGGCTGAAAGAATGGATGGTCCTTACTTTCTGAGGCGCTCAGAAGTTTGTGCAGACTTACCACTGTGTTACTCCTTTACAAAAGGAAAAGTTCTCATAGCTGGAGAGCTGGGGGTATCAGGGTGAACTTAACCCAGAAAATTCAATTTTCTAAAGGATTCCATGCAGTGGAAGTCTTTTTAATTGAGATAGCATGATCTATGCTAATTATTTAAAGCTAATTTTTAAAACGAAAAATTTCTTGGCAACCTCTGCATTTTAACTGACACCTCAGGGATTAAAATCCTATTTTTTAGTCTAATTCCCACCTCATTCATGGAAATGAATAGAATTCACTGTATTGTGAGATGTATTGGTGACTTAGGATACATACATCATTAACCTCAAAGGATAAAGGGTTTTATTTTTTAGTAGTTTATAAATATATATTGACATGTATATTTAAAAATGCTGCATAAAAATAGAAGCCCTGTGTCCTTCCATTTTGGAGAGAAGAAAAATCTCTCGTGACTTCAGAGACTTGTGATATTTAAATAATATTTTGTTTAAAAAAACTAGTTGGAATTTCCAAGAAAAGAATGGAAACCAGAGGTGAGGATTAAAGCCAAAATTAAAAAGGTATCTAAAATAAACATTCCATGAAAATCTCCCTTTGCTTCATTTCTGTCTGTATGGTCGCATATAAGCCTCTCTGATCATCCTGATTTATGGGCAAGTATGGCCTCTACCGGACCCTGAAGGATTGAGAATTGAAAAAGGATCCCAGGTGATAAGGGTTCTTTATGTATAGGATATGTGTTGTGGTTGCATTATTATTAACAGATAGAGGTACAGAAGATTTACCGAAGGCAAGAGACAAGATAATGACCCATCATTTCAAGAAGCTGTTAGGAAGGCAAAGCAGGCAGGCCCTAGGGAAGGATGGGAGGAAGACCGCCATATTGGAAACTGGAGGCAGCAGCTTTTAGGGCAGTGGTTCTCTGCCTGTGGGTCTCGAACCCTTCAGGAGGAGGGTCACATATCAAATATCCTGCATATCAGATATTTATCTTATAATTATGAGCCATAACAGAATTAGAGTTATGAAGTAGCAAGAAAATAATTTTATGCTTGGGGGATCACCACAACATGAGGAACTGTATTAAAGGGTCACAGAATCAGGAAGGTTGAGAAACACTGTTCTATGGAATATCAGGAACCTAGAGGTCTGTCAGGGGCCTCCCCTCTCTTGCCATGGACTCTATTGGGTCCATTTGCATGATCCAGAGCCTTCTTAGTGGTAGGGGCTCCTCCTTAGCCCATTGCCTTATCATCACCATGCCTAAGAGATGGGCAGGAAGCTCTGCCATGAATTGTATAGCATTTTGGGAATTCATTCTCAGTCATGGGGCTAAGAACTAACTGCATGCCCACAATCCCTGGTTGCCAAGCCCTATACAGTTTGCCTGCAATCCTCTGTGGCTAGCCTGATTACCCCATTGAGATGAGTTTCCTTTGGTTAGTAATGAGTGCTAAAGATCGTAGTAGGTCGTTCAAGTCCCTCGGGACCAATCACAGGGATTGTCCTGTTTCCCCGGACTTTAGATTTACATCCTTGGTTTTAGTCTTCATCTTTTAGAAAAATGGAACAGTCAGTATCTACCTTAATCTCCAGGAGGTAGCCCAAGCTGATCACGGGAGGTTCTGACCCTCACTAGGCAGAGGCTGCAGTAGTGGATGTGCTTGACAGGGCTCTGGGGTGTGCACATAGCTATGCTAGTGCTCGATTATCTGTATACATTTTCAGAAGGTCCATTATTGGGGTGGTGCAGACACTGTCTGAGGCACAAGAGTCACCTCGAAATAGTTTAACCAGCAGTTTCACTTTCTTATAGTAAGAATTCCAAGCTGGGCATTGGTGGTACACGCCTTTAATCCCAGCACTCGGGAGTCAGAGGCAGGCAGATCTCTGTGAGTTCGAGGCCAGCCTGGTCTCCAGAGCGAGTGCCAGGATAGGCTCCAAAGCTACACAGAGAAACCCTGTCTCCAAAAACAAAAACAAACAAACAAAAAAAGAATTCCAGTTTTTTAAAACTATCCAGTTTCAATTTTAGGCTTAGATTTATAACACAGTTCTTGCTTTTAGTTTCTGTACAAGTTATCTGTGTTTACAACAGAAAGATACCCAACTTAAGAGGATTTATTGATGTAGAAAACTCAAAGGGCAGAGATGGCTGGGTTCAGAGACTCACCATCAAGTGGTTCTTTTTTTTTTTTTTTTGCTAGCTCTGCTTTCTTCTTTGTTTCTGCTGTCGATGCAACTGTACACTTGTATTGACTTGAATGCTAAGCTTCTCTACAGAACATAGGGAATAGTTGTGTATGTATGTATGTGTCCGGGGGGTGGGGGCAGGGGGGTAGGGAGAGAGCATAGAAGGCTTCTGTTGGGTACAATTATTGATCTCTGATCTGTAATTCTACTGAGCTGTGCCGACTGAGAAAAGTCTGGAAAAACATTTTGGGAAACATAAAGTGTCTCAAGTGCTTTAGGAAGCCTCTCTAGATGTAAGGCAACACCCACTCACCTCCCTTAGGTGCCTCTTGTTGAGCTACTCACTAGGCAACAGAAGTAGCTACTGCCAAACTCACTACACATCCGAACCCACTCTCCTGAGTCATTGCCATTGTCCGAGTATGCTGTGGGCATATCTGGATTTACAATATTCCAATATAGGACACAGGAAAGCAACGCCTCACTGTATGGTGGAGAAGAACGATGGAGCCTAGCTGGATAATGTGCCCACCTGTGGGGCTCCACAGAATGCATGAGCTTAAAGGTACTGTTTTTCTGTGGCTACATTTTGAGGGATTTTACTACACAACAAACAACTGTACAGACAACTATGGCTCAGTGTTCCCTATAACTCAAATTGAAATTGAATTGTATGGAAACAGTACTGAGAGGTGGGACCCATATGAGGTGCTAGGTCAACTTGACTAGACAGACACTTAGAAAATGTGAGTTGTTGGTGGAGCAGGTTGCTAGGTATGTTTAAGAAGGTGATTTCAGAGAGGACTGACAGGTGGGTCTGTGGCCTGAGTGGGGAAAACCCAGCTTGAATGTGGGAGGGCCATCCATTATTACAAAACCTTCCAGTTCTCACATGCACACCTGCTCAGCTCTTTCTGAGTGGCCCATGCTCTTCTGCTCACATCTCCCACAGACCGCTCAGCCTTCCATGTTGACTGGAAGCAGTGGCTCTCCAATGGGCTTCCAGGCCTTCAGTTTTACAATGGGGCCTTCTTGCTCAGAGCCTTCTAGGTTCTTATATTAACAGCTATTGGGTTTTACGCTTCTGTGCTTCAGCTGAAGTTACCTGATGTTTATAAGAGGTTTTTAATGTATTTTTTAAAAGCAAGAACTCACATTAGATTCAAAGTCAACTTGTTTTGACAGTCATCTCTTTGTGAGGAATATCTTTTAATGTATTTATGTATTTGTCAAGATGTCTGTCCTGGAGTCACTTGTTAGCATGTGTACAAATCTTGAATTCAACTGTGCTGAAACAGTATGTGTCCAGCCACTCTGCTCCCATCACCAGGACTGCTGCCTGTGCTTCATCCAGCATGCACTCAGCAGAACGGCAGCTCTGAACAACCTCAACTTGGTTTTCTTAGTCTGCCTTGGGCAGAGCAAAACTAGCTTCATGTCTTAAGTATGTTTTCATCTCCTCAGTCCATGCTGTGACTGCACAAATTGAAAACGATCACCTCTGAAGAGTTATGGGTAAACAAGGGGTTCATCTTACCAATTTCCAGCCTAAACCAGCTTTCTAGGCTATCGCTTCCTGGCTCTAAACACTGAATTGGATAGTTTAATGTTAGTATCAAGTCTATCAGCCTTTATGGGGTAGATGGTCTTTCCAGGTCCTCTTGCAAATTTACATCATAACTTTATATTATTACTAAGTATAAATTTGAAAACTGACAACTGTAAGTTTAAAAGTATAAGTTATTTTTCTTTTTAAACTTGTATAGAAATATCTTCCTTTAGATAAAGTCAAATGTCCCCATTGCTTCTACATGGTTTCTGGAACATTCTGGCTGTATGCGATTGTTATGAACTTGTCTTAATACCCTGTACTCTGAGCTCCTGACAATGAACCATATTGTACTGTTGCTACAAAAGCACATCTTTCAGTGCAAAGAGGATAAGAGGTAGTTTATTCTGGAACAGAATTTGAAGGACTATGGCCTGGAAACACAGACTTAGGTTATCCAAATATGGAAGTAGTTTTATGAAGTTTTAGAGTAGCAGAAAAAAAGAAAGCCATCAATCAAGGCTGTGCTGCCTAGTTTTTATGTCACTTTGACACAAGCTATGGTCACCTGGGGAAAAGGAACCTCAACCAAGAAAATGCCCCCACCAGTTTGATCCTTGCGTAAGCTTCTGCTGTGTTTTCTTAATTGATGGTTGATGTGGAAAAAGCCCAGTTCGTTGTGGGTGCTGCTACCCCTGAACTGGTGGTCCTGAGTTCTCTAAGAAAGCAGGCTGAGGGAGCCAGGAGGAGAAAGTCAGTAAGCAGCACGCCTCCATGGTGTCTGCATCAGTTTCAGCCTCCAGGTTCCTGCTCTGCTTGAGTTCTTGGTCATGTGGAGCTGTAAGCTGAAACAAACAACACCCCTCCTCCCCAGCTGTTTATGGTCACAGTGTTTCATCACCACAATAGAAACGATAACTAAGACAAAGACAATTTAAATACACCAGTAGAAACACTAAGTGGTAGTTACAGCACAGTGGAGGAATCTCAGCTATAGGCTTCAGATGCTATCTGATGACTCAGCATTTGGTGGATGGAAAATCAGGGTTTGGTCAAGTTAATACATTCCAACGGTTTTTATCTGTTGTTAGGATGCTAGGTCTTGCGAGGAGCAAGATGTTAGGTGACACACAGGTGAGACAAAGAATAACTGGTAGGCTAGAGATTGAGCAAGAGACATTGTAATTAGGCTCTGGTTCTGCAACATTCCAATCTCTCCGCAGGCATTGACAATTAATCAGGCTGAAGTCAGCCTTTGCAGGCAACTTCTTTCCAGTAATTCTCAATCACAGCACTCAACCATGTGTTCACAGTGTACACATAGGACCCACCTCAGAATAATACCTCCTTCAATATTGCTACTGTGCAGGTGTGTATGTGTGTGTGTGTGTGTGTGTGTGTGTGTGTGTGTGTGTACATGCGTGTTAAGACATGGTCTCTCTGTGTGGCTCCGATTGGCTCTGCATTCCCCAGTAGCTGGAAACAAAGGTGCATACCACCACCCCTGACTAAATACCTTTGAACTACTAATGAGGTGAGTAAAGTCTCAGAGTACTCTGGCTACGATCTTCTGCAATGTGCTGTTCCATAGCACACCAGCCCTGCCTGTGACAGGGATTGTTTTCTGGGATCATAAACATCTGTTTTATCCATCTTTATCTGTTCTTTTGCTGCTAACAATTCCTTATGTTGTTCAACTTTAGATGTCCCTTGTCGTCTTCTACATTAACCGAGATGCCCATGTGGTGGGACTGTCAGCTGGAAGAATCCTCCAATTTCACTTCTGTCTGGAGAGTCTTTAAGAATTCCTCAGAGTTTAATTAATAACCCATTGAATCCAATCAGTGCT